ACTCCCCCCTCGCCCTTCCGCTGGTGGCCGGGGGGGGGGTCTGGCACCCCAGAGGCTTTGGATTCAAATCACCATTTGGCTATAATGCTCACTGCATGACCTTGGGCCAGTCACTACCTTTCAAACTAGCTGACCTCACAGGGTGGCTGTGGGGACAGAGCCTGCATGACCTTGGGCCAGTCGCTACCTTTCAAACTAGCTGACCTCAAACTAGCTGTGGGGACAGAGGAAAAGAAATCCATGTATGTCACCTTGAGCTCCTTGGAAGACAGGTGAGGTAAGAAAAGTGAGAGATATTAGAGATCTTTTACTGATATGGGTTGAATGAAAACACAATGATCCCTTTCTCTTGGTTCTCTGCTCCCCATTCTCCCTTCCTTGAAATATGCCCACTTTCTTCTCAGCAGCAGCAATCAGGCCATCTTGGCCTTGTGGAGGTTTCTTTCTCCCAGAATTCCTCTTTCCTGAACAACTGCTTTCCTCCGCTACCTGCCTCTCCTGTTCCCTCCCCTCCCCTCCTCAGCCCTTTGCTTTAGGAAGGTCCTGGTAGATCTGTGAATTTTTGGTCCAGGTCAAACCTGGCTTCACTTCTTTATACTATTATCATCTTCAGCAGGTCCTTTAAAAATAACAAACTTTCCAGAGACAGGACCCACTGGGCACGGGGCCCACTGTGGTGGTATAGGGTTGCCTGGTAGTACCTGGCAACTGGTGCGAGGTTTTTTTTGGGGGGGGGCAGCATCCCAAAAGAAAAACCAGGCCTCACCTAATTACTGGACGTTCTGGCCATAGAGATCCTGATAAATTCATAGAGCTTCTCAGAGGTGACAAGGGTAGCTCTAGCAATTGCCAGAAACTCTGTGGTCAGTTTTTTTACCCTGTCTTCCTCCCCAATGGGGACCCAAAGCAGCTCACTTCATTCTCCTCTCCTCCATTTTAACCTCACAATAACCCTATGATTGGGTTAGGAGGAGACAGTGTGACTTGGCCTGAGGTCATCCAATGAGCTTTCAAGGCATAAGTGGGGATTAGAACCTGGGTCTCCCAGATACTAGTCTGAAACTCTTAACCACTACAACAGCACACTAGCTCTCTTGATACTATATGCACATTTTCTGCCCCTAAGCAATTCTCCCACATCCAGGGCTATTTTTGGGCAGGAACGGAGTTCTGGCTGGCTTCCAAGTTGGCCACACCCAGCAAGAATGCATTAGCATAATAGGCCACACCCAACAGCAGAAACTCATTAGGATTGGTTACATTAGGGGTGTGTGGCCTAACATGCAAAGGAGTTCCTGCTACCCAAAAAGCCCTGGTTTTTTACAACAAACAAGGTAAACAGAATAACAAGCAAAAGGTGGGTATGGCTGGATGATCACACTTCTGGTAACATGGGGGTGCGGCCTAATATGCCAATGAGCTATGCTGTCAGGGGTGTGGCCTAATATGCTAATGAGTTTCTGTTGGGTGTGGCCTATTATGCTAATGAGCTCCTGCTGGGCTTTTTCTACAAAAAGAGCCCTGCCCACGTCTAATCAAGCATTCTGCATTGTACCTTTGCATCCTGACTCCTTTCTCTGAAGGATCCCTTCCACTCTTGGACAGGGAATCAGGAATCTGCCTACTTGTATCTGACGAAGCGAACTTTGACTCTCGAAAGCTGAATTCTAGTAAAAACTTGGAACATATTATAAACTCATTATACACAACCAAGATTCAATTATTTCAGACACATTTGGATAAATCTGGTCCAATTAACAGCATCAGGCATGCATCTCACCAAACCAATACCAAATAAGAAGTTCATCATACATTCCAAGTTCTTAATTCTCTCGTCTTGCTGGTTCTTGTGATGCTTTTTGTGGTGTGAGTGGAATATGACTGCGCTAATTAGGGTTATAAGCCGCTGATGAAGTCTGTGCCAAAATGTGTTTGGCATTGTATTTTATCTCACCCCTTGTGGACATTTGTTTCCTGTTTTTGGCTTCCTAGCATATTAAAATACTGGCGTTATCTTTTGGTTCATTTGAATATTGTATTGTTTCTTACAGGGTTTGTGTGCTCAGCCTCTTTGGTTTACCCTATCTTCTTTGGGTTTTTTTTTCTTTTTTATGGAAATAAGAGTTGTAAAAATGTTTATTATTAAAAACTCTGCAACATGCTTTCACCTGCATAGTGGGCCTAGCCTAAAGACATTGCCTTCTAGAGGAGGTACTTCCTATAGGGGAGGCTGGGTGAGTGGGAAAAGAGGGGGTGAACTCCAAGAGGGGGAAGCAGCCAGAAGAAGAGGGGGCTTTCCCCCCCCCTCTGGATGATGTGGATATTTTCTAAAGCAGAAGTTCCTGGGGAAAACAGAACATGGGGGGAAAGCCCATGAAGACAGAAAATGGCAGTTAGCAGAGGAGTGACCATCTTTGGAGTGAGCCCTCAATACTGTGAAGAAAAGAAGCTACTTTTCCTCACAGTATTGAGGGCTCACTCCAGAAGACTGTCACCAAGAAGCCACTTGGTGACTGTGAGAAAAGTGGCTTCTCAGTGACTCTGAGGAAAAATAGCTAGAAGACGTTCTTCTCTTTCTGTCCTAAGTTTGGGACTGCCATGGTAACTTTTATTCATACTGTTAAAACCTCCCTTTCTGTCCTTGTTTTCCCCGTCACTTTTCAATACATGTTATTTGTTTAAGTGTGTTCAGCTTTCGAATAGGGAATATACAACCTTCTGACCACTAATCTGGCCCTTTTAAGGAAAAAAGGGTTACATAATGTTGCCAGGCCAACCTTGGCAACTGGCAGGAGGATTTGGGGCAGGGACATGGGGGGCACGCAATGACAGCTGTGTCCCTACGTCACTTCTGGAGAAAACCCGGAAGTGGTGTAGGGTAGGTCTAGGACTTGCTGGGAATGCTATAGTTCTATCATAGACTTCCGGGCAACTTCTAGAGTTACCCTATGTCACTTCTGGTTGTTTTCCCCCAGAAGTGACAGAGTGATGGAGCCAATATTGCCTTTAAAAAAAAAATTCTCCCCCCACTTCGGAGACAGTAGGCAACAAAGGCTGCCAGTGGGAAGCCTCCTGCCATAGCAAGAGGCATGGCAGCCATATGTGGAAACAAGACACATCCCATACCATGTCTGAGATACCAAGGAAGTCCCATGTTATACAGGAGACGGCTGGCAACCTTGACTGCCCTTTTGCAGCAGCAACACAAACTTCCATTGCACAAATCAGCCAGTGCTACTTTAGCAAGAAGTATCCACATCTTTACTTTTGTGAAGAAACCAACCTTGGTGGTATTTCCTTTTACAGCTGCCCTCACGAGGCGCCCCCAGGCATCTTGTGACCAGATTCGCATGGTGATGGTTGAACCACTGACAATATAATTCTCCTTAAATGTAGAATGGTCAGAGAGATCCGCTGTGTGTGGGGGGGGGGAGGGATTAAGAATGGAGGTGACAGGAAGAGTGTTAAGTCGCTCGCTTAACAAAGCAGTCGGAGAGTGATTCAGCAAGAACACAACTTTATTCTTCAACTCGAACAAAACTCCAACACAGATCAACATCTGATAGCCAGAACAGCCTTTACATTGCAGCTGTCCTGCTTTTAAACATTCCCGGCTAATGTAGCCACACCCACTGTACAAATATCAACCTATGAGGTTGCCGATATAAGGTCCAATCACATTAGTTCCCGCTCAGGGAGCTTGCTTGAAGTGATTGGCTTGTTACTTCCTGGGCTAGCAATACTATTGGATGGATTTGGATCCTAGCCCAGGACGAAGCTTAACATTACAGTTCAGTTAGATGTTTCACAACATGTCATGCATTCAAGGCAGCTCTGAATACACTACAAAGAGAATGGTGGTAGGTGACATGTAAATAAGAGGTTTCTACAAAGACTGTAGTTGTAGCAAACTGTCTTTGTTTGTGAGGCCACAAATGTATTCGACCTTGTGTCAGAAGCAATTGCATATACTGGAGATACTAATAGTACCCAGATGTACCTTCCAGTTTAAGTCCTAAGGAATACAAGTAAAATCACCGTATCAGGGCCAATGTGACATCAGCCTTTGGAGGGTTTTGCTTGGTTGGTTTAGTTTTTCTTCCGCTCTCTTTGTGGGTGCAGATCTCCAGACCTCACCTGGAGGTTGGCAGTCCTTCCTAGATCCCAGCCTGCCACTCTAACCGCTATACCACGTTGGCTCTTACTGATGTTGCAACACTGAATCCTGGAAGTAAACCTTTGATGAATGGCGCAGTGTGGTAGATTGGCTAGAGTACTGAGCTAGATCAGGGAGCTCTAGGTTCAGATTCCGAGTTCAGCTTTAACACTTACTAGGTACCATCAAAGCTTGCTAGCTGCTGTAGGTTAGGTTAAAACTCCTCACAAGCTGTTGTGGGAATAAATATGGGGCCACCTGAGCCATCCAGAACTCTGCAAAGGAATAGCGGCAATCCAAACTCTGTTTTGCAGACAGCACTTGACACTTGTCAATTTGAGAAGACCACACCTTCCCTTAAATTAGGGGACCTAATGTTGAGCCTTGGCGCCCGCCGACACCTTTTCTGGAAGTGTTTTCAGTAAGTGGGTGGGGGCCAGATAGGACTTTTGCCCAGCAAGGCTTCTGATTGGCTGCACAGATTTTTTTTTTAAATGTTGCTTTGG